AGACTGAGGCAAAGAAGGCATTCAATACCTCAGCCTTTTCCTCATCCTTGGCTACAATGTTTTGCTCCACATCCAAAAAAGGACGGAGATTTTCCTTGGCCCTCTTTTTGTTGTTAATGTATTTATAAAAACACTTTTAATTATCTTTCACAGCAGGGGCCAGATTCAGTTTTAGCTGAGTCTTTGTCTTTCTAATTTTCTTTCTGTGTGACCTAATGACATCCTTGTAGTCTTCCTGAGTTGTCTGCCTCTCCTTCCAAAGGTCATAAATCCTTCTTTTTCCTGAGTTCCAGTGAAAGCTCCCTATTTAGCCAGGTAGGCTTTTCTTCCCTGCTGGCTCATCTTTCAGCACATAGGGACAGGTTGCTCCTTTGCCTTTAATGTTTCCTTCCTAAAGTATGTCCAGCCTTTCTGGACCCCTTTGTATTTAAGGGTTGTTTCCCAAAGGACTCTCTGAACTAGTGTTCTGAACAGGCCAAAGTCTGCCCTCCAAAAGTCGAAGGTAGATGTTTTGTTGACCCCTTTCCTTACTTCATCAAGAACTGAAAATCATTTTGTAGTTGATATGCCCAAGACAGCTGCCAATCACATCTTCCACCAGCCCTTCTCTGTTCATAAAGAGCAGGTCTAGCAGGGTACTGCCCCTGGTAGGCTTCCTTACCATCTGTGTCAGGAATTTATCTTCCACACATTCCAGGAACTTCCTAGACAGCCTCCTCTCTGCTGTGTTCAGTTTCCAGCAGATATTTAGCAAGTTAAAGTCTCCCACAACAACAAGGCCTAGTGATTGTGAAACATTATCCAGCAACTTATAGAATAGTTCGGCCACCTCTTTATCCTGGTTGGGTGGTCTACAACAGACTCCCACCAGGGTGTCTGCCTTGCTAGCCTTCTCCCTGATTCTTACCCATAGGCACCCAACTCTATCATCACTGTCACTGAGCTCTATAGAGTTGAAACACTCCCTACTGTACAGAGCTACCCCACCACCTCCCTTTCATCTCCTGTCCTTTCCTAAGAGCTTATACCATCCATTTCAACACTCCAGTCATGCAAGTCATCCCAAGTTTCTGTGATGGAGACTATGTCATAGCTTTCCTGATGCATGATGGCTTCCAGGTCCTCCTGTTTGTTATCCATGATGCGTGCATTGGTGCAGATGCACTTCAACTGGGCTATCGATTTCACCCCCAACACTGGCATGCTGCCCTTAGCTCATTTCTAGCAAGCTTGGTCTTATCTCTTTTCCCCTTCAAACCTAGTTTAAAGCTCTGTCAATCAGCCTGGCCAACTCACAGACTAGAATCCTTTCCCCCCTTTTAGACAGGTGATTCCCATCTGTCTCCAGCAGGCCTGGTGCCAGGTAAACCACCCCATGATTGAAATGGAGCAGGCAGGTGAAAAAGAAAAAAAAAAAAAAAGAAAGGAAACTAAACTAATAGCTGGTTAACTAAATTGTAGGTGGTATGACAATTACTACTGGCAGTGGTATGGGTTCCTGTTGCAGACTTCAGAGGTTCCCATAGAAACAACTAAATCATTTTTTTCTTGGGAGAAGTGAGCCAATCAACATGATTTATTTTGGCACTGACACTGACCTGTACCGACTGTTCTCCCTCCTCACGCCCCAAAACAAACCCCTTGCTATACTACACACATTTAGAATAATCTATCTACACTAGAGGAAAATTACACACACACAGATGTGCCCTTCAATTTTATTTCGTAACGAAACTCTGTATTTTCTCTACATTCTACCTAATGCAGTTGAGAAAGGTCACATTATTAATATTACTCTTTACCTGAAAAGAATGAAAGCTTATCTTTGAGTAACTATAACTTCCTGAGATACCCAGGTCAGTAGGATGCTTCTGTAGGCTTGGTAGAAGCTTGGTAGCATCCCACTCATGGAACGTCTAAGAAATCAGAGTTAACTGTCTTGTGCATGAGTGCAGGTGTGTAAGTAATACTCAGTTCCTATAACACAATCAGGCCATCAGAACACACAATCCCAAAGAATGTCAAATTTCTGTAAAATACAGCATTTTGTTAAACTGTTCCCTTCTCTCTTTGAACTTCAGTGCAAACCTCACTTGGAAGTGAAGAAGAGGCAGCATCCTGTCACAGTGGCCAGGGTGTGAAGCTTCATCCATCAAAAAGTTTGGAAAAATCCCCAGCCTAGACTGTCATCTAATCCAGTAGCCAAGATGGGAGCACAGAGGCTGACATATGTGAGTGGGTTGCTCTGTGTAACTGCCTCACAGATTTTGGATACTGGCACATTCTGGAAGCAAGCAGAGGATGCTTTTTGGGCTCTGGAAAATGTTTGGGACACTGGCCAACTGGTAGATAGGTGGGATGCAATGAATTATATGATGCCATTTTACATCTTTAAAAAACCCCATGGCTTGATTGTGGGTATGGTCTGGTATGAATTCAGTGACAGCTTTCTAAGACATTTGACCCTGTTCAGGTACTCTGCTGATTCTCTCTTCTGCGTGATGAACTCTGTTAGTGTAAGGGTGAATCAGAACCCAGCTTCTGATCCCTATGGTTTGGCAGAAATAAAGATGCTGGAGTGTTCTTAGAGGAATGATTCTGTGATGCAGAAGACCTTTTCAGGGAGTGCCTGGCATGGTCACTAGTGTCACTGGTGCTGCCCCAGTGGTGATGACAGCGAATCAGCAGCAGGACAGAGAAGTCTGTCCTTAACTCTACTAAAACTGTGCTCAAACTCATGGGGTGAGACAGGGAGCTGGTATGTGGGCTGATATCTGATCTGGTGCTATGATATGTGCACATCCAACGCACAATGCTTAATTTAATATTTTGCTTTATGCCCTCGATAAAATTGTGTAGTATTGTTATTTCAGACATTAAAAATAAATGCTACATATGCATCCTCTTTTGTTTGATTTAAACCGATTCATGGCAAAAGGAAAAAGCAAAGACTTTGTCATGCCAGGTTGTGTTGAGTACTTTTACTTTAAGAGTGAGAGCCATAACAAAGTCAAAGATTGGTCACAAAGATCTCAAAGGTCTTTTCCAACCTAATTCATTCTGTGATTCTGCAAGTGAAAAAATCTGCTTCAGTTACAAAAAGCACAGGATCATCTTTACATCCACTGGCCACAAGCCATTTAACTTGACTTTTAAATACTTTAGTGAACCAAGAGATAAAATTGTCACTTAAGTGATATTCTATGCATTTGTGTGTTTTTCCTGAGGGCCTTCTGTCTCTAATAACCAACAAAAAATACAATGACTAGAGTTATTGACTTGAACTGTGGCAAACACGGTATATAGTAGAAACACTTTGCCTTTAATAAGTATGTTTACTTCATAATTATGAAATTTTTACATAAATATTTATGCAAAACCCACATATATGATATGCTCCAATACAGGCTACATTCCAACAAATATCCTATGTTCCATGCAGGATATGTTCCAATAAAATATGTATTATTTTACATATCAGTAATGTTATTATAATGGATGTTAGTTCTTCAAATAATGAAAGGTGGCTATGCAGTTTCTGCCGCAATTCAGAAAATGAAGCACGATACAAAGATCTACTTAATTAACAGCATCAACCAAAAGTGCCAACCAGTTAAGTATCAGGAGAAATCCACACAGATAACATGACTACCAACTGTGATGGTCATTATATATTCTTGCATAATATATGTGTATATTTTCCTCTTGAAACACTTAATAATTTTTAAAAGCTGCATTCAGAAATCCACTGGAATAATGAGAAGATAATGCCACTAAACTGTAGCATAATACTGGTTTAGTGTTCAACACTACAGTACTTCACTTGAGGCATATTTCTTAAAAATGATCCAATAAATGTCTTCATTTAAAATGCTAACAAAAGACTAATTTGATTAGTCCACATTTTCATAAAGCTATAAATAAAATATGAGAAACAAATACTTTCATGTAAAACTATTTTAGAAGAATTTAATGAGATTTACTATCTTTTTACCAACAATTATTTCTGAAAACCGTATATGGGAACCTGTGGAAGCTTATCCTTGATAGGAATTATATTTTATAATGTCCTCTTAAGTTAATGGAAAATACGACACTTTAAAAATTTTCTTTCATGAAAACACAGGACATTTTATATGGCATCTCAAAACACAAAGCTGGCTTGTGACAAGAAAAAACCTGCTGTGCATGCTGGCAAAGCATCTTTCTGGTTTATATGGATTTTTTCACCACCTGAGTGAGAAAAAGGGTACAGGAGCTTGGTCAGTGATGCATTTATTATAGGATTTCCTAATCTTCCATATGTTGACCAAGACTGTTTACCTCTGAAACTATCATTGCTAATCTTAGCAGCTACCAGAATGCTTACATTTAGTTTATAAAAAATATGCAGATAATTAAGGAAATGTTGGGGAAACATTTTGAAGAACTAATTTTAAACCACTACGGACAATAAATTAGCTAATTAGCAGAAACTTATGACTGATTATGACAGACTTTTAATTTGTTTTCCAGAAAACTACTCAAAATAAGAAATTACTTCTGGCTGTACCTTAGGTTCCCATTCTGCAAAATGGGGATTCTGCTACTGACTCTTCCAAAAGCAGAACGCTACAGATGGAAAGTATGCTATTAGATACAGAGCTAATAATATTAGTAATAACAGCTTATTGCTGCTATTATGGTAATTACTATTTCAATTATGTCTATTAGATATGCAGTATTATTCGTTATTTATAGTTTTTATATTCTGTGTGAAACTAAGGTGGAATCAAGACCTAACCACTGTGTTTTAAGAACACCCATAAATTGTTCCGGCGACACCTGGCTGCAGTTAATAAGATGCAATAATGTGTGTCTGCCCCTTAGATATGCTGCATGGAATGCAGAGAGGGTATGGCATCCATACCCTTTGAGCTTGTAGGCTGTGTGTTCCCAGCTCCAGTTCTGGAGCAAATGTTCCAAAACAGGGCAACCAAATTTGGGTCTGCAGCAGGGTGGTGGATCTGCCAGGAACACAGTTCCCAAGAATGGGCTCACAGCTGCCAGGTCTCACTGATGGAAGACTTTCTTTCTGAAGACACAAAATGTGGAAGGTTTTCTCTAAACATGCATGCACTACGCTGGTGAGTAAAAAAGGTATCAGTATGATTTTTAGGCAAATAAGGGCACAATTCACTGCCCATGAATTCAAAATACGCTAAAGATGGATTTAAACCTTAAACAAGACACACACATAAACAAAACTATCAAGATTTTCTTCAGGAAATCAAATGGAAAAAAAGACCCAGAGAAGCCTCTGTGGGTTGAAATCTCCTCCTTCCTTCTGCCCAGCTACAGAAGAATCTAGTTGAGTTATTCAGCTCATCACTACTCACTTCTTTTTTGGGGTGAAAGAAGTGTGTATTTGAATTTAAAAAAAAACAAAACAAAACAACGTCTTTATGTTAGAAGGACAGCAGAGGAGATGAACCTGATATATTACAAATCTCCTCCAGCCAGTTATAAGACTAATTTGCAGTTCTATGGTAAAACAAATTATTGAAGCTCATCCTTCAAAATACAATAACAAAAATCCACCTTCCTGTATAACTGTTTCCTTCTAATTGTAATTATACTGCTTATAACTCCTTTCTTGCTTTACTTACTACCTCTACAGAAAGGGTTAATTTTCTATAAACCTAATTGCTTACCTGTGGCTTCTTCCAGTGTGGCAACATCCAGTCTAGGGCTGTAATTTCCATAACCAGCAGCAGTAAAAGCACGAATCTGGAAAACATATACTGTTCCTGGCTTTAGGTTATTAATAGAAGCTGAAGTGGACTTGGTTTTCAGTGTTGAATAGGTCCTCTCCCTTTGATCCTGGAAACAATAAGATAAAGATTAAATGACATTTACAGATCAGATTTTATCATGGCTGCAGAACAGCAACTGACAGTCAGCCTGGGTAGTTTATTTCAATTTGCTGAATGTTCTTTTCCCCCAACATAAAAAATAAAGCATACTCTGTGGAGTATTAGAAAACATTGTCAATGCAATGAAGAGCTCTAAGTGTAACATAAAATTCAAATGGGATGCTCACATTGTTGCTCATAAAACATCCAGACAAAAAATGATTGCTTTTTTGGCTCTGATTACATTTTGTGAAATTTTGATGAGAAACAACTCAACCGCAGATTTCCAGTGGAATCCGTGGGGTCTAAACAGTTCAAGGACAGGGAAATTCGCTCTTTCATGGTAAGAACATGACAAACATATAGCTGTGCAACCTGCCTCCTGTCTGCATTAACCTGGCTTTTGTTGTCAGCTTTTTCTTATTTCTGGAGTACTTCAAAGTTATCATGAATGAAGTCCCAGACATTGTGAAATGAATGGCAGCACTCCGGCTGACATCATTACTTTGACATTTTACTCTTCCAACACCTTTAACAAATACAAAATTGCCAATGTATAATTGGTTGGATTTTGTACAATTTCTGAGGTCCTTAGCTCAGTTTTCACTTTAGATTTTTTTCCCCTTTGGTTTTTAGTCTTTTCTCAGTTTTAAACTCTGTTAAAAAGAAGAATCCAGGGAAAGAAGCTCAGTATGACACTCCCCAAATTTAAAGCTGTAAGATTACAAACCCTATGAGTAATAACTCACTTTCAAATAGTACAAAAGCTGTATCACAGATCATTACAGTATTCAAAAAGCCCTACTTATTCATCACTTTTACTGACACAGATTATCTTTCAGCATAGATATGTGCAGCCCTGTTGATTTTTGGTGGCAGATGCAACCCTGATTTGAAGGGCAGAAGAGATGAATTAACCAACCATCTGAGTGCACCACATGACCAGAGAAGCATGAGCTGTACGCAGCAGTGCTAATGAGACAGATACAGAGGGAAGGAATAAATTTGTACTCATTTCAATAGTACTTCACCCGCTAAAATTTATGGAGAATCTTCCCCTTTGCAGTCAGTAAAGCAGCAAAGGCTTTTGCAGAAATACAAGGTTAAACAGAACATATATGATTTCTTTTCTGAGATTCAGTAATGGCTTTTCCTTGTTCTTGCCCAGTCAATTATTTGAGCAAGCCTCAATAGTCTTGGCTAGCAACAACTTTTTCATATCTTCTCCAAGAGGATTTAAATCGTCTGTAAGTGAGGACCGTGGTGGAATGTGTGTTGGTATGTGAGAAAGAACAGGAATGCTTGAGAGATGAGAAACAAGTGTAAGGAAACCATAAACAGGTTTGGGACTGTAATTCACAGTGGAATTTCAGAGTTTGGGTTTTGATGCATAAATGAGGCTTATTTGAATTGCCAACAGTTCTTGCATTCAAAATAAATAAATAACAAAGAAATAAAAATAACCTGTGATAGAAATCTCACAGGACAGGCTTACTTTGGAGATTTCAGGCAGTTTCCATTCCAGCCCTAGCCAGAAGTGAGAGGTGAAAAAAACACTTATCAGAGTATTTCAGAAGGACAGAAATGTTTGATTTAATTTGGCTCTAAAGGGATCTGAAAGTTCAGATCTTTTTCTTTTCTTTTCTTTTAAACTGGCAGAACAAAACTTAAGCAGCCTCTCTCATTCTGAGCAAGATAAGGGAGTACTTTTAAAGCTGAACTTCGCTATTTTGGAAGGAAGACAAACATTTAAGTATTTGTGCAAAAATTGTCTCAGTTAAAGATATATAGCCAGGTTTATCTGTGACTGTAGAATGAGTTTTGTATTCTCTAATTAATTTCACTGTAATAAGGACAATACTAGCAGATTTCCTTCTGTTACAAAACAACTTCGACATCAGTTCTTCTCTTTGCAAACACAGCAAACTGGCAATGAAATTCTCCTGGTTATTTAAAGTAACATGAATATATAGGGAAAATAATATTCTAAAAGCCACATTCTAAAAGCTATCACTGTCCAAAAAAATAGTTTATTGATAATTTTTCTGTCATTTTGCACTACCTATTTAAATTATTTATTGTATTTAAACAGATTAGAAACCGCTCTGTATATTAAAAAAATTCCTAGGTTTTTAGTTTGCTATTTTTTTTTCTTTTTGTGCAGAGGACAGTTTTGCCCTTGTAAATATGTAAACTTTTTTTAAATATATGGACTTAAGTTATGTGTGTATGCACACACAAATGCTGTCAGAACAAACATTACCTGATAAAATTAGTAAAAATTCTTTAAAAGACTGGTTTAATTAATAAAATTTCTTTAGAAAACTTGTTTAATTATCTGTACACATATGATAAATTTTGTCATAAGTCTTTAGAGCCCACAACTTAAACTGGAAGTTAGCATCAACAAACAAATATTCTATTGCTTTCCCAAATCAAATAAAGATCTTTTGATAAGTATATTTGTGTAATTAATTACTGAAAATCAAATATGACACTTGAGCTTAGATCCAATCTGGTCTGAATTTACCTAATTCTGTGTTACCTAAACTGACATGGTCTTTTTTGATATCGAGGTACTATTACCTTGTTTGCAGACATGAAATGTCCTCACGAGGTATCACAAAGGAGCTCCTTTGGTAATTTTTTTTTTTTTTACTTTAATTTGTTCCTTGTTTTTCACAGAATGTTTTATAAAAATTAAGAGTATGTTATGTTATGCAGTCAATTTCCCAGGGAATCTGGAGTAGATACACTTAGTCGGGGTCCCGTGACAAACATATAGCTGTACAACCTGCCTTCACTCTGCTTTCATCCAGCTTACGGTTGTCAGAATTTTTTTATTCTGAAGTACTTCAAAGTTATCATGAATGAAGCCTTAGACACACTGAAATGAATGGCAAAACTCTGACTTGACATCAGTAAGATTGCAATTTCACTCTACCAGAAACAGAGATCACTTCATCTACTATTGAAAAGCAGCCTTCAATTCATTATTGTGCTGAGAGAACAAGTGAAAAATAAATTTCACAATGCTGGTCTTTTTTTAAAGGACAAATAAGAAATATTTATTTGCTGAAACCGTAGGAAGTGTTTTGGAAATTTTCAGACATCAAGTCGAAGCTGCCCAGCTCATATGGAAATAAGAAATGCAGTCAGGGGTTGTATTTGATATACCATCTCAAGACCAGAATTACAGTGATACAGAAGGAAATGAAACAAGCTTCAAACACGGTGTAGAGGAGACAGCAAAACAACAGTATAATGGTAAAATATCCAAGCCCAACTTAACAATTTTTTAAAAAGGAAAAAAAAAGGCAGATTTCAAGAGTATGTTTCATTTTTAGTATGCCAAAATACAACATATGAGACATATGATAGCAATAATAATTGTAGGATTTAGCTAGTTATTAAAAATAAACAAAATCACCAACTTTGGAGAGACAGGATAGTTGATAGCTGATGCCTTTAACACTGTTTCACAACACAGCAAGCCAAGATAAAGCAAACAACACATTGCTGTACATTACAGATAATCTAAGCACTTACTTTCTCATAATACTTGATTTCATATTCAGTAATGACTCCATTGGGATGTTCTGGTTCCTGCCAGGAAAGCTCCACGCTCCTCTGCAGCACTCTTTCTTTCATTACTCCACTAACTTGCGAGGGAGCTGTTTGGACAAGATGTGTCAATAAATAAAAAGCAAATTTGTTGGGTGCCTAAAATCAAATGTCATTACTGATCCACCCCATGCTGAGCCACTTTCATTAAGGTAAAAGAAAGCACCTTTTCATAACTCACAATACAAAGCTAATGAATATTCAAGCGTTACCGTATTACTGTTCATGAACTTAGAATAGAAATTGAACTAAAGTGCAAACAGCAAAAAGTGGCATTTTTCAAGTTAGTGCAAAACTGAGATTGATGGGGTAGGAATAACAATTAGGCAAATTAATTCTGAGGATGATAGCAAAGCAGATTTTTAGATTGATGTGTAGTAAATTAAAAGTCTAAATATTTATTGCATATGTTTCTCAAATGCACATAAAAAGAAAAATAAAATTTTAGAACCAAAATCACATTTTAGGCTGATTTGATATGACTGACTCCAATTCTGCTTAAAAACAATCTGTCACACTATCTGATTATGACATGACTTGGTGATGAAAATAACCTTGTTAAGAGACTAAGCCCACTCTTTTTCATTAGTTCAAACCTTTCCAGGACATTCTCTGTTTAGACCTGAAGTTTCCATACTTGGTCTTGGCAGTTTTGAAAGTGCGAGACAATTTAAGAAGTAGATCTTATAAAAAAAAGGGGACACTGTCTTCCTCTGCCTGACTCTACAGAGACATATATACATGCACACATATACACTGAGTTTTCTAATAAACATCACCCACAAACAAGGACCTTTTGAAATTAAAAAAAAAACAACCCAATATACAGGCATTACAGAGCCATTGATTCTCACATAAAATGTTTAAGAGAGAATGTAATAAAATGTGAGAGACTGAAAAAGTAACTTGCTTTATCAGCTTATCTCATGTTTAACAAAAAAGACAGCAGATATTTTACTGATATGCAGCACCAAAGGAGGCCAAACATCACAGTTTTCCTCAAACATACATACTGCCTGTATGAATATAGAACAGAAGTCCTGTAAAACTCTAGTACTTTAAAAAAAAACAAACTACAATTATGGTTTTGGAACCATGCAGAACTTGATCTTCTTCTCATTCAGTTCAATGGAAATCAATTTTGCTCATGCAAAAGATAGAGAGGATCTCATCCTCAGCCCCCTACAGTTAAAAGCACAGTTACATTTACATGTACAAGGACTTTGTCTTGGAGCAGAGTCAGAGACCAGAAAGGTGTCTAAGATAAATATATTAGAGAAAATAAATTACAGATAATAAAGATTAAATTAGAGATAAATTTACGTATATCTTTTTCAAGCACAGAATCTAGCACTGATTCTATACTGAAATGTTTGTTTGAAAAAAAAATTCTGAAAATTTTAAATCTTTTTCTAGGTAGAAAAAAATATCGCCGTATTTCAGAACTGTATATAAAGCTTTCACTACATAAACTAATGTACAGATCCTGATAAAGTTCAGATAAAACAAACATCTTATCCCAAGCAACAAGCAGGTGAACTTCACTTTCTCCAAGTAATTTAAATAATATACAACACATAAAATGCACTCTCTGGTATCATTTAGTATAAAAATATAATGATTAAAATAAAAATATCTACAGTATAATAAAGAAAATAATCCTCTAAACAATTAAAATTGGATTGTTAACTTCTTAATGTAATTTTAAAGTTTCTAGCTTTTTTATAAACTTAAAACATGTAGAGTTTTAAATTAAATTTATTTATATTTTATTAGAGGCTCCAAGAGTCCATGAAAATTAGGGATTGAAGCCATGCATGATAATTTTCATTATGAACTATTATGTTGTATATAATCAATGTAATCAAAGTTGAAGATCTCTTGATCTAGGCAGCCTAAAGTCTTAGAATTGTATCAGGCAAACACCATGGGTTGATGCATAAAGCCAGGATCACTCTCTTGCACTCTCCTCACTTTCTAAAGGCTTAGTGATTTTCACTCTTTAATTAGTGTAATATATTTGGGGGTTTTTTTTGTTGCTAAGACTCTGGAATGCAGCAAACTGATTTACTCTGTCTAGTTTTCTTTGCCATGATGAACTAGTTGCCTATTTTGTCTAAATGAGTACCACAGCATCCTGGATGAATTTCAGAGAGGTCATTATGCTTCATGTATAATTTTAAATCTCATCTAGATAAATGTTTTTCAAATTGCTAATCTTACATTTTTAGATGTCCAAAATTGTTAATGTTTGCACTTACCATGAAAAAATTTTATATTACCTAGGTCACTGGAGTTTGCTCTCAACATTTGCTACTTTTTGGTTTTGCTTATCACTTTTTTTCATTCCGTTGGCCGCAGTAGTCATTTTTTTAAAAAAGCAAAATGAACTTGTTTCCTTTTATTAAACACATACATCGAGTATTAGTTAACTCTGTATTCTCTACGTGGCTTTCTTACAGATGGTTTTGCATTCATATTTTATTTGTTCTGGCTTCTTGACACCTGTTTTTAAACCTTTAGCCAACTTCTCATTGTCTATACATGTTAATTAATTAACAACCTTTCTATGGTTTTGAAACAACTATATTTGAGCAAGCATGAAAATGAGTTAAAGCATATAATTCATCCTTAAATACAAGATAAAATAGGGAACTAAATTACAATTTAAAAAAATCTATAAAACCAGGATTAAAAATAACATTTCTAGCAAAACAAATAACAACAACAACAATAATAAACAACAACTATTTCAGTTCCCTTTTTTAGTAATCTACTTCTTGCCACTGCATCTCTAACAAAGTCTGTCATGACAAAGACACTTCTTACAACATTTCTAGACAACTAAGTACCCAGTCTTGAATGACTTGAGCCTGCATAATCCCTACTGTATCACTTCAGGTTACAAAGAAGCATCACTTGACAGAATCATTATTTCCATAATATATTACACCAGGGGATAAAGGCTGTTCAAAACACCATTTGCTATCAACTTTCTTTCTGATAAACCTCATCTCCTCTTTTGCTCCATCCTGCTGACACAACATCCGATGCATCAAACACACACAGCCTCTCAGGGCTAACAGGCAGATGTACCTACACACGTTGCATAAGAAAGTACTTTGAGAATGACAGGCCCTCAGCACACTCATTCACCTTTTTAAATGCTTCAAATATACCATTCAGCAAAAGGAAAAATTGATTTTCCCCAGGTTTCAACATCACAGCCACAGAGAAATATAACTCTGCTGGGTTTTACTGATAAAGCCTTCAAGTTATATAGATTTTGAGCTGGTCATCATTTTCAGATCAAGTTACAGAAAAAGTTAAAACTGCGGTGACAAAAAGAGCAGGATATTCCAAGGATATATTCCGTTCCAGAGAGAATACTGAATCGGGTAGACCGATGTGTAACATCCATACTGCTAAGCCAAGCATAAGGTAGATTATTAATGTGTGCAAATATTAGGTATAGAAAACAGTGGCGATTGTTTTGGAAAGCACTGAATTTAGTTCAGAGTCCTCTGAAAAAGTAATAATATTGCTCATGCCTTTAATCTCTGTCTTTCAGAGTTCTCCAGACTAACATTTTCCTTGATCTACAGTGTGCTTTCCACAAGACAAACGAGAGTTCCAAAATTAAATCTTCTTCACTTTGTATAAAACAACAATAACTAAAAAAGCCACGAAAAATGACTAAAACAAAACATAACAACAACAAAACAAAACCAAACAAAACCAAACAAAAATGCCAAACACATGAAGAAAATCAATTAAAATGGAAAAATGAAAATATGTAAAGTTGGACTTTTACATGTAAGAGGAATTATGTATAATGTACCAATTGCTAGCACAAAATCATCTGTAAACATATTTTGATTGAAAATAGATAATTCAGCAAAAGAAACATACCAATCCATTTCTCAGAGACTTCTAAAAGTCCTGAATCTTGAATTTGTCTCAATTCTATCAACAGAATTGGTTGTGGGAACTTTTAGTTTGATACCTTTAAACAAGTGTCTCTAGAAGCAACATCTTGGATGTTTAGTAGTTTATATGTATGAAAGAAATTATTTAAAATCCTTAGAAATAAGTGTTTCAATCCTGCAGGCACACTACATACAGGAAGTTTCATAAATGGACATGAGTGCAGGACCAAGCCCTACATAAAAAATGCTACCAAATATATATTTGTAACTCCAGTTTCATGATTTTTCATACAAAGGCTAGAGAGTGAATGGTCTACTAGCCTTCCTTAACCTTTTTTTTGTATTTCTTTATCTTATAATAATAATAACGTACTGAAGTCAATCTGAGCTTCATCTCGCACATGCCGAAATAAAAAATAACACTACCACTTTCATAGCACAGGACCTTTACAGCATTTCCTGAAGGACAAAAACTCCTGGCTTTTGGCCTCTTTTCATATCATGAAGATATGCAACAATCATTCAAAACCACCAGCTTTTCATACAGCAGCAATGAGATCAATTTTACATCCCTGTAAAACTGTATCTTAGGGCCCAATATCAGTTTTACATTACAAGAACCTTTACACCATTTTTCTGCAATACTGTTCTGCAGCAGTTGGAGGGTGGCTTGATATTGAGCCCAAAAGGGACATTGCTAACAGATGCAAAGCATGGAAAAGCAGAGCTATCGGTATCCCAATGGTTACAACCTATTATTTCTTTTTTAAATGTCTTTGCTGTCTCCTTTCTCAGCAGAAATCTTTAGATAACAGTGTTGCTTTGACTCTACATCGATTTTAAGTGAGACTGGAATCTGGTATTTTACCAACAACAAATGTAAAATGAATCCATGTGTATATATAAATAAATAAAATAGTAGCAGAAAATTATACTATTGTTAGCTCTTAAAGGGTTATTCAGGAAGAGAGTATAAAACGCTATACTCCATTACAGTCCTACACTCAGATTACCCAAAGGGCACCCTTCTGCACTGGCTTTTACATTAATTTGCTCCCAAGAGAAAGCACGTAAGTGAAGTCACAACCTGGCCTCCAACCATGCTCCGGTTTGCTCTGAAG